TTTTGGTACCGGGGACTGAGCTCGGGACCTTTTGCTTGTGAGGTAGGCACTGGAACCACTGAGCTAAATCTCCGGCCCCTTGTTAATATTATTGATACGATTGGAATCCAAAGTAGCTCCTAAAAGACTCACTGTGTTGAAGTTTTAGTTGCCAGATGATGGGTTTGATGAAGTACTTAGATCATGAGGGCTCTAACTTCATCAAGTGGACAATTCTATTCATGATTTCCTTATAAATGGGCTTATTAGGAGGTGGGACCTGATTGGATGAAGTAGGTCATCAAAAGCATGCTTTGAAGGCTATATTTTGTTCCTGGCCAACCTCCTCTCAGGCTCTTTCACTCTCTCTGCTTCCTGGCTTTCATGTGTTGAGCACCTTCTTTCTACAGTTCCTTCTTTGTCACAGTCCTACCTAGAAGCAATAGAGCCAAGTAACCATGGACTGAAACCTCTGAAACCATAAGCCAAAATAAACTTTTCCTGTTTTAAGTTATTTTTCTCAGATGTTTTGTCAGAGTGATGAAAAACTAACACAATGCTTTTTTATAAATGCTTCATTTTCACCTATCAGCTATGTTAAATATATGGTATCTCTTCCATTTTATTTTCAGCTCATTTTGAGTGAGTAGAACTTGTGTATGTGTACAGTGAGCATTTATTTGTATTTCTTAATCATTTAAAATTAAGGCTCTGCACAACACTGGATTCAAGGTTACTGCTACTTAGAAAATATAGGAAAGCAATTTCTCCCTTGTAGGAGACCAGCTAATAAGGATCAAGGCCTTTTGACCTTATCTGTGAGCACAAAAGAGAAAAACAGAAAGCTGTGTCTCCTGTGGCAACATGCAGGCATGCTAGCACACATCAACACATCAACACAGCTGAGATGTGGATGTTTACCTGGGTACATGCTATAGATAACAAGAGGCAGATGAATCTCCTATTAATCTAACTCCTTGTTCCCATGTCTAAGTGAATAAAAGCAAAGTGAGCCAAATGCTCAGGGCTCTTTGCCTCTAGTGGACAAATTGGCAAAGAGCCTCCTGGTCCCTCATTCTAAATCATCTTTGTGTCTTTTGTCTTTCATCCTCATTCACCCGCTGGTTGGGGATAAACCTATAGGCTGATTGCTATACTCCCTTTCATGAATTAACCTTCAATGCCCCCAGAAGCCACCCCCTTCCAGTATTATTTGCTGACAATTTCTTATGGATTTACATTCCTCAACAGCCTGCCTGGAGACCCTTTTATACAACTGACTTCACATGCTTCAGGTTTATGAATGTAGTAATATGCACATACATACATAGGGAACTAGATGCAACCACACACAGGGAAAATTCAATTGCTTGTATTATAATACAACCTCCTTTCTGAGGCCTACAAGCCAGCTCATCTGGCCCTCATTAGCCTTATCACCCTCGTACTGCCATGCCCTCCCTTCTAGCCCCCTCCTGCCTTCCTGTCTGTCCCACCACACACTGAGCACCTCACTGTCCCAAAGCCTTGGCACTTGCTGTTCCTTCAGCCCGGAAAACAGCTCTCTGAGCTCTCCACTCTCATCCCTCTGACTTCAATTCATGCCCCTCATCTTAACCAGTCTCCCCCAAACACAGGATTAGTGAATACATCACCCTGTTTATTTCAGTTAACACCATTTATATGCCAAGGCTCACCAAGACTGCAGACTGGCTGATTTGCTGGGCAGGATCATAGGATTCAGAAGAGCTGTTATGCTTGCAGCTGTGGTTCATTGCAGTGAAGGGATACAGGTCAACATCTGCAAAAGGAACAGATGCATAGATGCAATCCAGGAGAAACCAGGCACAGGCTTCTGGGAGCCTCTCGCAGTCACATAGAAGTGTGCTTAATCCTTCTGGTAACTGTGTGACAGCACATGCAAACCATTGCCAACCAGAGACGCACACCCCAGCCATGGAGTGGAGGGTGATTGTTGAAGGCCAGTGCCACAAGTTTGTAGTGTCCAGGAGTCTGACTTTTAATATTCAGGCTCCAGTGCCCCCTAGAGGTCAAATGGATACAACATGGCCCAAAGCCTCAGGCATTCAAAACAATCACACACATATATATTTGGTATGTTTGTGATAGGTAATAATTACAATCATTTTGGGGAATTGGTACGTATACACATTGCATCTTGATCATTTTTTACTTCCTGTTCCCCTCCACATCTTGCCCTTTCTTCCTATCCCTAAACCCCTTCCTGTCTCCTGGTTTCCTATCATCAGGCAGGATATTCCAGGAGCTCACAGATCACACCCCAGAGCTGGCCAGAGGCAATCTCCTGAAGACAGGCCTGTCTTTGAAAGATGCAGGGTTTGAGAAACCTGAGCCTGCAGAGTTAGCTCTCTACTGTGCAGTCTGAAATCACTTTGCTTATTTGTTGTTTATTGACTGTGACCCTCCTTGGAAGACAGTTCCGTGAAGGCAGAAGACCTTGTCTAAGTCCTTCAGTGCCATCCACCCAGATGGACACAAACAGATATCTGTTAAATGAATAAATGGAACTTTGAATAAGAATTTACCATAAACGGGGCAGACCCTGAGGCATCGCTGAGGTCACCGCCAGGATGTCCAGCTCCACTTGGAGTGGGCAGCTGAGCAAACATGAATGTTAGAGTTGCCCCCACTGAGGTGAATCCAAATGTTCATGTAATGAACAGCCAGGGTATGTGGCTGACATATGCATTAGGAGTTGGCTTGCTTCATATTGTCTTACTCAGCATTCCTTTCTTCAGTGTTCCTGTTGCTTGGACCTTAACAAATATTATACATAATCTGGGGATGTATGTATTTTTCCATGCAGTGAAAGGAACACCTTTTGAAATTCCTGACCAGGGTAAAGCAAGACTTCTAACTCATTGGGAACAACTGGACTATGGAGTATAGTTTACATCTTCAAGGAAGTTTTTCACAATTTCTCCAATAATTCTATATTTTCTGGCAAGTTTCTATACAAAGTATGATCCAACTCACTTCATCCGAAACACAGCTTCTCTCCTGAGTGTGCTCATTCCCCAAATGCCACAACTACATGGTGTTTGGATCTTTGGAATTAATAAGTAGTGAAATATTTTAAAACTGAACAAAAATTTTTACAGCTACTGAGTTTCCTGTAGGGAAGGAGTAGCTAGTAAACTGCACTGTTTCTGTGATAATGTGAAATGAGAGGTATTTGCATTGGAGGACCAATTGCTGGTTTTTCATATGCTGCCTTGAAGTGAGGTTTCTAAAAAATGCCTCTGTTTAAAGTATCTGGTACATTTCTCAAGAGAGGCTTTGTTAGCAGACTGGGCAGGCCCAGCTTACAAATTAATGGCAGTACAGTGAGGGTGTAGTAGATAAATCCAAGGAAATACAAGATTTGTAAGGAAATAGGACCAACTTAACTTATAATGAAAGGGGATTATGTTAGGAAAAGAATTTCCAGTCAGTCATAGTCAGTTTCAGCAGGCTTACACATGAACCAGAATCATCTCTAGACATGTTTATTATAGATTGTTTTTATTACCAGGCGTGTTTCTCTTCTATAAGAGGATGTATGCCCTTTTGTTTCTAGAAGCCAGTTCCTACCTTATGAGTATGCTTTTTGGTTTTGCTGGCCCAATATTGTGTGTTGATAGATAAGGTCAGTTTTGCATACATTACATTACAGAATTCATGAAGTTCCACTTTCATGACCGGGGGTAGAAGATACCAGGTATCTGACAGGCAGCCTCTGAGTCAGCATTCTAATTTTGGAACACAGTGCATTGCACTGCTTTTCTAGACATAAAGCTGCTAATCCAATTAAGAAAATAATTTACTCAAGCAGTTAAAGTATATGGTAGTTTAAAAGTGTCTGCTTATTGGATTGAGCAACTTAATTGGTAAAGCTATCATTCTTTAGGAAAGGAAATATAAAATGGATAACTATCTAGTCACCTGTGCTCTGGCGGAAAATGCTTCTCTAGCAATAGTACCAAAGGAAGTAATGGAATTGTTTTTTGGGTTTTTTTTAGCAAGTCAGCAATAGAAGATGACAATACCTTTTTATATTCCTCTTGCTGTCAAGTTCCATAGTTTCCCATTAATATTTTGCCTTTAAATACATGGGTCTTAGTGTAGATGATACCAAATGGTAACTATTTCCAGAGCAATGACCATGCTAAATTTTTGTGACTTAACGAAGCTTTCTATAGTTGTTAATATTTTTATTTTATTTTTTTATTGGAAATTTGCACCTTTACATAATCTCTTGGTTCTTATTTTTTCCCCATTCCCTTGCCCTCCTTCCAACCCCTCCATTCCCCACCATTTACAAAGACTTTGTTTCCATTTTTACATTTTCTCATATTGATTCCATTTCCTTATTTCCTTTCCCCACCCCTCCCACTTCCCCTACCCATTTACCCCTTTTCTTTCTACTTTACATTATCTATTATACCTTTTAGTCCTTATTTACACTTTCAGTTTCTCACACTAGAAAAACTATTCGGTATTTACACATGTGTGTCCTATTTATTTCACTTCAGAGTATCACCTCAATGTGCATCCATTTAGCAATAAATGTCTCTAATTTCTCATTTTTGATGCCAGAGTAGTACTCCATTTTATTAGAAAAACCACATTTTCTTTATCCAGTCTCCAGTTGGTGGGCAATTGGTCTGCTTCCAAGTTTTTACTCTTACAAATTGGGCTGCTATGAACATGGGTGCACATATATCACTGTGGTAGGATTCTTTTAATTCTTTGGGAAAGATACCCAGCAGGGGAAAAGCTGGGTCAAATGGGACTTCCAGTTCTAGTTCTTTGAGGTATCTCCATAATGATTTCCGCAGTGGTTGCACCAGTTGACACTCCCACCAACAGTGGAGCAGTGTTCCTCTTTCCCCACAGCCCCGCCAGCATTTGTTATTCGTTGACTTCATGATAGCAACTATTCTTTCTGGGGTGAGATGGAATCTCAGCATTGTTTTCATTTGCATCTCTCAAATGACCAGTGATGTTGAACATTTTTCCTTATGTTTGTTTGCTATTTCTACTTCTTTGTCTGAGAAATGTCTGTTCTTTCAGGTGCCAATTTTTGGATTGGGTCTTTAAATTTGGAAGGTCTGATTTTTTAAGTTCTTCATAGGTTCTAAATAGTAGACCTTTGTCTGAGGAACAGCAGGTGAAAATTTTTTCCCACATTGTGGGTTGTCTCTTCAAACTGTTGATGGTTTCTCTTGCTGTGCAAAAGCATTTTTCCCCCATTAAGTTTATTGGTACATTTTAGGTATAAAATACATTTACATGCATCATTGAGATCTTCTACAATTACATGAGTATCTTCGTTCTTATTTTTTTCCCCTTCCCCTGACCTTCCTTCACCCCCTCCACCCTTCCCTATTTGAAAAGATTTTGTTTCCATTTTTCTCCTTTTCTCATATCTTTTCTATTCCTTCCTTTCCTTTCCCCTACCCCTCCCACTTCCCCTGCTCCTTTAGACCTTTAATTCCTATTACATAATATCAATTATA